ATGCCAACATTTTTCTGGCACATTTTCCTGTATATAGTCATTTTAAATAAATTCAATGAATGATTTTTAAGTGTTAATAAACTAGATATAACATTTTCAGCAGAAAATTATTTCCCAGACATATAGTCCTTGCCAGCATCTAAATTTCTTATCACAGGCCCTCCTGTTTCCTGCTTCCCTAGAACAGAGCCCTAATGAAGTTGAAGTGAAGACAAAAAAGGCGTAAAAAAAAGCATTTTGTGCAGAAAGTTGCTTACTATACACTGATGTAATAATTCAATAATTTTCTTTACTACTAGTATATTTTGAAACAGACTAGCGTAGCCGTAGTTTTCTTCCTAGCAAGTGGAAAAAAAACCTCACATTTTTCCTCATGCTGACTGCTGCCTCAGATCCTTAATTATCTCCTCATATTTCAGCTTCTTACAAAGCAGTAAGCTTGCATCCAAACCCAAAAAAGTAATTCCAAATTTCCCTTTAAACAGCCTAATACTTTAAATTCAAGTAATCTCACTGTACTAGATAGCCTCATCAGTGATGACCGATTCCATTTCTCAGCATAAGTTATCAATAACCAACTTCTATGTTTGCATGCCTTCAGGCCCAAAACATAATTACTGATGGAAGCAAAGATTTACAAAAATAAAGGAAAAAAAAAAAAAAGAAAAAAAGGAAAGACAGCAGTGCCTAATGTTTCTTTTGAAGATAAAGATCATTAAAGATCATTGAAGATCATTAAAGTGGAACTGACCAGCAGAAGGCACTTTACAATTCCTTGTCCTTCCAGGTATAAAGATGAAGATTTAAAAACCAAGCAGACAAACAAATTTTAAACAATTTCCCTTAGCCATTATAAGTCTGCCACAGTTCTGCTGCCATCAAAAGAGATGTATCAATTTACAGCATATAAGAATACATCCTTTTGTCCAGAACCCTCTCTCAAGATTGCAAAAATCAAATAAACAAACATATGCACAGTAAACAATACTCACAATTTGCTTCACTCCTCTCTACATGGCAGACTTATAAGCTACTGGAACCCTGGAAAAACAAACCTCCACAAGTAATAAAGACATCAGTGGCTCACATAAGATCGTTCTGGAAACAAGTGTCTATGATACAGTGAGACCTATGTTTAATCTCCTTTTGCTCATAATAACCTGAGAAATTCCACATATGGACCTTTTTCATTCTGATATTCCCAGAAGATATAAAATCATAGGCATTTTTTGAGTGTTTAGTTGATTCTACTTTATTTCATACAAGAGTAGTAGAGATGCCCATATTTAAAATAAAATTGTCCTCTATGAGTTTCTCATAGAAGTTAAACTGCTTGTATCTAACCAAGTACTCTGTTCAAAACTTGAAAACATACAGTAATTTCTCATAAAGTTAGCACAATGAAATCAGAAGAGAAAATCTAGGTTTATTTTCACTCTTCACTTTAGATAGTTTGCATCATATTCAGGACAAATCAATCCACCTTTAAAAGACACAAAATGTTGTTGCTCAATCACAATGGACGGGAAGGAGGCAGCCAACTATCAGCTGTATGAAAATAAAGTATTTTAAAGGGTCAGTTATATCTAAGAATTATACTATGATCTTTTTAATCTCTGATTTGCTAATAAAATGTTTCTAATATCTGTACATCTTCATCCTTCTTCAGCTGATATTCTTACAAGGATAACCTATGCATCCTCTTACAAGGATAACCTATGCACCCCTAAATGCATGGATTCATTAAAATATGCAATTTGTTTAATAACAGCTTAGGATGTTTTTGGAAAACTGCAACCAGTAAGATTAAGCAGCCAGGTAATCTGTCCTAGGAAAATAATAGACAAAGCTATTTCCAACACCACTTTCTCTTTTTAAAGCCATATGATACAGACTGTGCACTAAACTGTATTGGACCATTTTCAGTTTTACAGTAAGAGAAAGAATGGAGTCTTAGCAGGGAAACATTAGAACTACTGCAAGTATCACTGCCTTTAATCAGACACAAGATTCTTTATTCCTACTACTGTTCCCACAGTACTTATCCTTTAATTTGTTATGCATCGATGATCAGAAAAAAATAAAAGGAAAAAACACTTATTGTAGAATATGAGTACAATTAATTCTACTGTTGCAGTTCTCTTGTTCGTTTCCAGATAGAAAAAAAAAAACATTAAGAAACTTTGCCAAAACAAAAAACCTATAAGTTCACATATACTTTTAAATTAAATTAACTTACTAGAAGAAAATCTGGTAAAAACACTATCAAGTTTCCATGCATTCATAGATAAGCATTTGTGGTTAGTATCTCAGTGCTGCACTGGGCTGTTTTTTGTTTGTTTTTATGACCTATGCTTACAGTTATTAAATGTTCAAAGAATGTAATCACAAAATACGTAATCATGAATAAACTCAGTCTAAATTTCTCACTACTAACACTGGATCTTCGTGTTTACCTCCTTAATACACAACAGTCCTGTTAGCTTTTGTGAAGATTATAAGGAAGCCGTTTCCATACAAACTATCAATTACAGATAGTCTTGACACTAATCCACTAGTAAAACAGAATTAAAGCATGTAAATAAAATAATACTACGATAAAAAAGAGTGAGAAGTAAAAATATGAAATATATTTAGTAAAAATACTAAGCTAAGTTTATCAACGACCAGCACAAACTGTGTCCGCTGTTGAACAAAGGCCTGGATGAAAGCAAACCACCATCACTGCACATTCCCAGACAGAATATAGCCTAGAGACTCTCAGGTACTTGTATTAGAAGGATATAATTAGAACACTTTGAAAGTCTGCTTACAAAGTACATCTCCAAGCATGAGGGCAAAAGGACCATACAGTTCTCTCTCAGTATCATCTTAAACTATCCACACAAGTATCGAAAGCGCGATGAGAGCAGTGGTAAATGTAAAAATTTAATTCTGCCCAACTGCTAGTTTCCCAGAGTTATATGTCAGGTCCTGTAAGTGTAACAAAAATTGAAAAAATGCAGATTTCTTCATTCTTTGTAAAACATGGTTAAAATTCACTACTACAGGGTTCTCATATATTGAAAGGTCTGAAAGACGGTAAATAAGACTGACAAAAGCAGCACAGAGTCTTTAATCTCTCATTAGGGTACTGTGAGGTTAGGTTTATAGAGAGACATACTATCTTTCATTACATCAGCTAATATAACTGGAAAATAAAATGCTACACCAAAAGTCCTAGGCATTTGTTATATAATACTGAAATCAGCCTTTACAGTAGTTCTAATGTAGCTTACATTCCAGATGCTGACATAGACATTGTCAGAGTGTTCTGCAATAACAGAACAGGTGCACCAAGAAAAATATATTGAATTATCTCAGTTTTTTTCTTTTAAGTCAGTCAGTCAGTCATATTGTATCTTTCGACAGTTTATATCTATTTCTTAGAAACACTGAGGTTGTTTTTAAAGAATGTTAAACCTAAAAGAGGAAGAATGTCTGATTTTGCTATTAATACTTCAAATGGGATTTAAATTCTTTTATCATTCTGCCACCGTTGTTTGGTTTCTGTCAGAAGGACATTATCATGGTAAATCTCATTTATTTATTTATTTATTTAACTTTTTGTCCTCAGAGTACTCTTGGGCTGGACATTGTGTCCAGAGGACATTGTGTCCAGAGGACACAATGTGGACAAGAGGAATATTGGTAAGAAAAGGATATATACAGCTTTCACAATAGAAAAGGTGAGATTTCATCATCTGTTAAAATGGTACTAGCTGGACAAGTGGATATCTTGGTACCATATTAGTCTGAATAGAAAAAAGCTTTCATTCAAATTTTTGGTCTACTTATCAATGATTCTTTACTGGCTCCTTTTCATGCTCTTTAAATAGTATGCAAAATTTGATTCACTGTATTATTAATTGGAAGAGAATAATAGTTTTTCAACCTTGGTGTGCTTTCAAATGGTTAAACAGTACCAAGAGCCTCAGTAAGGATTTCACTGAATAGGAATGTTAGGATTAACTTACCTACAAAAAGTTTGAATTTCTCACTTTAAACAAATTTCAAACATCCTTGGTTGTTGCTTAAGTGTGTTTGTATTTTAGTCAGATTATAAAACTGTGAGACAATTACTTGGTCTAATTATAACAAACAACAAAAAGTATGCTGTTCTTGAGATTCTCTGCACAGAAAAAATTAATCTGTCTTGTGATGCACAGTAGCTTTTGTTTTATTGATAAATTTTGAAAATATAGCTTTGAAATGTTCATTTTCATTTTTTACAGTCAACAATAATATTTCACTTAAACTTTCATACTTTCTTTCTTTTGCAGATTCAGTTGGGATGAAAGACTTTATAACTGTACTCATCTCAGTAAACAGACATATAGTTCAAATGAAGTAACAAAGATTCCTTACCTTGATGGATTGACTGTAAGGTCCTATGCTTGCAGGTGCCCAGTGGGATATGCTCTGTACATGCAAGACCAGTTTTTCATCACTTAACATGCCATCTGTTGCGATGTCATTGCTATGTGCAAGGCAATCAATGCAAAATAGTACTCCATCAGGTAACAGAGTTTCCACACACACTCTGAAAACACAAGACAATTATATTTTTTTCAAACAGTTTGCTTGCACCAACTTCCAGCATTTATTTCCCATGTTTTTGTTTTTTATTTTAGATAATGATTTTTTTTTTCAGAAACATAACACAAAGCTACAGAATCACAGTAACCTTCTAGCTGTTATCTTCTCTCCAAATGATGATCAGCTTCACACCTTCAACAAGATAATTTGCATCACCAAGGAGAATCTAGTATGATAGCCAGTGTCTCATTCCTGCTTGGTTATTGTTATGTGTATCATTTTATTAAGAATATATGAGTTGTATTACTAAGAAAACTTTGACCACACAACTCTGGGAATGTCAGGTAAACTATGCTAAGCAGCCTTCAGCTTGAGAGTACCCTTGTCATAGTCTTATCTTCATATGTTTTTCTCTGCATCTTCTTCTAACGATTGGACTAAAGGTTCAGTTTTCTAATGGTATGAAGTAGTTTATTGTTCCTTTATACCCTCCTTACATGTTATAATACAATACTGAGCATATTTTTCTGTTTTACTTTACGTTTTATGACAGATAGACATTTATGATGGCATAGAAAACCTACTTAAGCATTAATTGATAAAGTTCACTATTGTTTGCTCCAAGGAAGACTGTGCCTGGATGGACAGGAAGACAGTCATTCTGTTGCCTCTGGCCAGTGAGAAAACAGGGTGTGTGGGGGGGTGGGGGAAGTTGGGTGTGTAGAAAGAAAAAAGAAAAAAAAAAAAAAAGAAAAAAGAAAATTGACATTTCAAAGCCAGAAAAATAATTATATTTGCAGTCCATGCATAAAAAAGTCATTTATCTCTCAGCAGGAATCCAACAAAAATTACTTGGTTTCTTTACATATCATGTAACATAACCTTACAAAATTCTTCTTGTGTTCTTGTCTTGCTTATTTCTTCCAAGAAAACAATCTTTCTCTCCTCCTCCCCCATGCAAATACTGTATTTTTTCTTCATTACCATCATCATAAGCATGGATGAATGGATTTTCTGCTTGGGCTGGTAAATTTTCAAGACAATTTTGCAAATTTAGTGTAGATCCACACCCTTGAGTCTGTGTTTCTAGCATATTGCTTGTGAGAGCTCTCACAATCAGGTCTCTGTGCATAATGCAATGATGCAGCCATGCAAACTACTGCATAATTTTTCTCTTAGCTAAAATGCAACATAAATCTCTATGTTCTATAAAATAATCATAAAAAGCCTTTTCCTGCTGCAACTTCCTAATCTTTCTACCTGTTATTTATGACCTTTCTGAGAAGTCAGGGAAAACTATATGGCTGACTATGCAAATGTGGAGGCCCAAGACATGCAGCAGAATGAGAAATGAAGGAAGCTAAACTGGGATAAGGGTAAGTGTCATAAAGCGAACTTAAGATTCTCTTAAGCAGTGGAGATTCATTACCGTGTAGTTAACAGCTGCAACTAGACCCTCCCTCCTAAGGCACACACAACCAACACACTATTCTTCTGTTATTTGGTAAGCCTGGACTACACTTAGTATTTCAAAGAAGCATCTGCCTGCTCTCTGTAATCTCTTCCAACACCCAGACAGAACAGATGATTAGGAGAATGTGAATCTATCATGTCATACATTATCTTAACAATATATTTTAACCATTGACACACTACACTTAAAATTCACATGACTTTACTGCACTTCATAATGGAAGTATACTATATATTATTTTACATTAGAAGATTTCCAAATTGTTGTTTTTAAAAAATATGAACAAGACATGAGATTTGACTTCCTAGTTGACCCTGCTTTGAAGAGCGGGTTAGACTAGGTCACCTCTAGAGGATCCTTCCAAGCTGTTTTAATCTATGCTTCATTAAAGACCTGCATGATAGGGCAGAGTATACCCTCAGCAAGTTTGCATATGATACGAAACAGAGGAGTGGCTGTTTTGCACCACGGGGTCATGCTGCCATTCAGAGAGATATGGACCGGCTGGAGAAATGAGCTGACATGAACCTCAGGCATCTCAAGAAGAATTGCAAAATACAGTACCTGGGGAAGAACAACCCCCAGGCACCTGTGCATGCTGGTGACTGCCCAGCTGGAAAGCAGCTTTGCAGAAAAGGACTTGTAGAGGTCCTAGTACACAACAAGATGAGCATAAGCCAGCAATGTGCCCTTGTGGCAGAGGGCTGGTTGGCATCCTGGGCTACATTAGGATGAGCACTGCCAGCAGATAAGGGAAGCAAACAAACATGCAAATAGAACCCCACCAAGACAAAAGACCAGTCAGCTCAACCTAGTAACAAAAGAGAACTGAAAACTCTCAATATATGCATTACTTTTCTGTAAGGCCATACAAGGGGCACTTATAAACCTGATGGAAAATATGAAGGCAGGAATTTCCAACCCTAGTGTTTTTGACTTTAGCACTTGTGATGTGATTACTCCAAAAGGCAGCAGAACTGTACTTACAAGTCTGTGAAACACAAATATTTGTACAAAAGTTTCATAAATGTGCTAACAATAATACAGCATATTGCAGTGTATCATAAATATATTATAACAGTAGTCTAATCCTACCTTGCTGGTGGACACAAATCAAATTCTGTCACATAAACTGAATTTATAACATTGAAATCTTTCATGTTCTTCGCATACAGATGAACCAAAATAATATCCTTTAGTTTCAATCCCAGTGAAGTCATATTAGCTGCAAAACAAAAATAACATAGCTGTTAAAGATGAAATATTTTAAATGTGTGCAGAAAGACAACACAGGCAACCTGTGTTTGTCAACAAAACAAGTTGATAACAACTAGTTGTCTAAACATGACTGAAGGCTTTGCAACATACTACCTTTCCTTACATTATACCCAATTTTTCATGAAATTCTCTCATGTTAATTTTTTTTAATATGCAAAAATAGATCACAAATAAATTCTATCCACACAGAGGTGAATTCTTACTCCAAAAAACATATCATGCATTAATGCATATAGGTATACTATATCCCTAATTTTTTGCAGTTTTATCTTTTTTTTTTTTTTCTTTTCCCCATTGTTTTGTTTTTTAGACTACAACAGCTAGTAATCTATGAAGGACTTTGAATCACAAAAGTACAAAACTGGAAGGGACAATAAGAGGTCTTTTAGTCTATCATCCTCTTCAAAAAAAAGATCAAATATTTATATGATTATTCCAGAGTGATGCTTTCCTAAGCAGTTTTAAAAGAAAAACAACACTGCAGTAATAACCTCTGCATAAACAAAGAGTTATAAATGGCAAGACACACAATAGGAAACAGAAGTGGCCACAGGAGAAATGAAGGAATGGTAAGAGCACAGAAAAACAAGCAAGTACAATTAAAGAAAAGATCCTGGGAATTCAAAATCACTTGAATGTGAATGCATAGAAGCTTCTAGTCATAACACTTTAGGAGAAGTATTACTCTTACATAGTCAATACCATAAAAAGGTATATGGATCAGCTCTGCGGTGTGTACCTTTATAACTCATGAGCAATAGAAACAAAATGAAGACCTAAGTCTTCTCTGAAAGAAGTAAAGAAATATAGAAGATATAGCTGTGACCAAACTTAAATGACCTATGCAAAGCTCTTCTCAGCATAGATTGGCAGATCTTGTTCTTTAATGCTTTAAATACAGTTCAAGAGTTGGCACACTTCCATGAAGGTTGATGTGGTCACACCAGTACTGAGTTTTGCTCTAAATGTCTCAGCTTTATTTAGTCAAACCGCTATTAGTGATAGCGATCTGAAGAGGGGAATTCTCACTGACAAAAAAATACAGTCCCCACTAAGTGATACAAGAGATTATAAAGCAATTGACATAGAACTCTCATGAAGTCAAGATACATCTCCAGAAATAATCAGATGAGAAATTAACACACAGTGATAATTCTGTTCAGAAATATAAATGGTTTTGGTTGGAAGGGACCTTAAAGATCATCTAATTCTGGATTTAAAAATAAACGTATTTGAAAATTGCCTGATAGCAACAACTATGTCAGTACCAGCTATTATTTTATCACTCAAGGAGAAGATAATATTTTAAAAATTTCCAGCCAGCATTTTAGTCAAGAAAAGCTTGGGTCTGCAGCATTATCTGAAGTATTTGACAGAAAAAAAGTATAAATTTAAAATGCATAAGCCAACAAACTGTAATTTGTGAAACTTTAACAGTATAAGAGCAGGTTGAAGGCAAAGAGATTTTGATAAATTCATTATTTTTAGCTTTATAAAAAAAATCTTCTTAAAGTCAAAGTACAATCCCCATTTTTTCCTGCATGAATTAGAGGAATGAGGGGAAATAATCTCTCCCTAGCTTGTAAGCAGAATAAAATTGACCTATCCAAAGTATCTAGTATGAAAGCATAAGTGATAAACCAGTTACAAACCCACCACGTGGGTTCTTAACAGTATGTTCTTCTTCCAAGGGCTATTATTTAGTACATTTCCATGATACACCAGGAAATCATACAGCCTTTCTTGAATTTTAAACCGTTTGAGTCATCGTTCCAAATTATTTATATATTTATATGTAAAAAATTATTTATATATTTATATGTAAAGCACTGCAATCTTTGTCATCTTCTGATCACATCTAAATGAAAGTTTTAAAAAATAGTTTAAGAAAATAAATGTGAAGAGTAATGTACTGAACTCCTCCCTCCTGTTCTTGTTTTCATGGAAGAATTCGATCTACTTGACAGAACAATTGTATGTTTCATAATGTCCAGAAATTTCCATTTCTGAATCCTTTAGGCAGCACTTATTCTCTTTAGAGATTTTTAAATCAGTTAACCCTTTAAAGAGAAGGTTAAAAGGACTGTGGCTGTTCCATTTTTACAGTATAAAGGACTGAACTGCTATATAGATCAAAAGTATGAATTCAGACAAAGCTTTGTGCATATCTGCAGATCAGTGAAGTTCTCAAAACAGCTTGTTTTGCCATGACAGAACCTTAATTCATCCAGTCTTCCACATCCTCTTCCAAAAATAAGATAATCAGAAAGGAAATGTGAGAAATTACATTTCCTACCAAGAATTACATGAAAAATTAGTATTTTTTCCTGACTATAATACAGCTAATGCAAGTAACTTGCTGGAAGCAGCAGGCCACTGAACCAGTCATAGACTAGTTCTTCTTTTGATAGATGCTATAGTAAAAATATATAATATTTTACTGGCAGATTTCCATTCAAATGTAATGAGAACAAAAACCCTTTCACTTCAATTTACAAATAGTGCCAGTAAGATTTACACTAAATACTGCTGCCTTTTACTAAAAGTTAAATCACACCTAGCTGTCTGATTTCCAAGCAATTAAAACCCAGTGTAAGAGCCTTTGAGAAAGTACAACTTCTGAAAAATGTTGAAGGTTTCTTTCTTATCCTATATTCAGCCATGAAATCAGCTGCACACGTCAAACATAAAACTTTAGAGGACTATACCTCATGAGACTTTGTGAGCAAGAATATGAGACTACCTATTTGCATAATAAGAATTATTTCCATTTTAATGAATGAAAACAAGCCTATGAAATATGCTTTATTTAAAATTTAGACTGGAAAAAAAAAAGTGAATATTTTGTCCTGCAAGGAGAGGATAGTAAGGAACCTGGATTTCATGAATCCCAAGAAAGCAATTTCTTCTTTGCATTAAGAATATAAATAAGATTTACTACTACTGACCTAATCCTAGATGCCAAAATGTTCAACAGCTTTCTAGAAAACTTAATTTAAAATTATGGTAGCTACAAAAGTGCTTTAGCAAGTAGACAGCATCCATAACACACATGCACTCTCACACATAGTATATATTGCAAGAAAGCTATAAAGCAAGCTATAAAGCAAGTAAGCACTATGGAAATAGCATCACAGTGATATGATCACTACTCTGGCTTTCCAGGGTCTTCAAAAACCAGTCAAATTACAACGTGTTCAGTATTAAAGCCAACAACGATTCCAATCAAACACTAAATGAGGTGGCAGACTGACAACCACACTATTTAAAATTACCAAAACATATGACAATACATATTTTAAGAACTACTATTAACAGCAGATAATGGATTAAATGAAAAAAAGTACCTTGGAGAGAAGAAAACGCTTCCCTTGTTGCCTCTTGTGTGGTTTTGCCTTCTGATGGAAGAAAATGTGCAGTGATACCTGAAAACCACTGGTAACCATTCCTGGATTTTCCTGAGCTTTCAAATGTCTTAGCTATGTGAAATGAAGTACAGAACTATGATTACAAAGATGAAAGATGTCAGATTAACCAAGAACCTATTTACATTTTGATGAAGAGCTTCTACAGAAAACAAACAAACAAACAAAAAACATAAAACCTCAGGCTGTTAAAAGATCTTCAAAATTTATATACATAAACATAGGTATAAAGCAACTATTAAAGGTAAATGTATTGATATCAAATCTTCCAAATGGTACTTGTCAAACCAAGTGGTACTTCTCCAAAACTGCCTTCAGAAAATGTGCTTAGAAGTAGCATTTAGCTGAAAATGTCAGCACTTCTCTCCTCCTTCCCTTCCCCCTCCCCAAACTTACAAATTTTCTATGTGTTTTGTGACAGAAATGTCACAAGAAATTATATTGAAAAGCTACAATTTTCAAAAGTATTCAAGTGACACAGAAACAGCTTATCAAAGTTACCTGACAAATTTTAATGGAAGTTAAATGTTTAACATGGTTCTGATAATCTTAGCAAATTCTTCCCCCCACACAATCAAACAATCCATCAGGAATTTACCTACATTCACGTGCCTAAACACCATTCAATAACAAACACTGTTACACTATGAAACTTAATTTTCAGGAAGAGTTTACTATTCTTTGGATTTAGAGTAACAGTGATGCTGTGGTACTTCAATGAGTTACCCATCTATGAACTCAAGTTTATCTCGCATTAGTCACCTCATGTTTCAGGCAATGATAGTATGAGGCATATGATTTATTACTGCGGCTCAACTAAGAGACAGTAGCTTGTTAGGGTGCTAAACGTGATCACGCATATACCCGAGGCTGCTTTTACAAATGGGGTAGACTCGCAGCATGCAAGCAAGTCACATGGTTGCATTTTATAGATCATTTTAGAGTTTGCTTTTCTACTTTCGATTTAAAACTGTAGAGTTGGGGTACAGGTGTTGGAATGACCTTCTAAATAAAGCTCATTCCTTCCACTGTAATGACTGATTATATTACAATAATTTCATTCAGGCAAACAGAAAACAATAAAGTTTTTTAAGCATAAAGTATTATAGACTCACTGAAATCCAAAGAATTATGCTTCAAAGACTTCCAGATGATTGGAATGATTTTCTGTGGTTCCTCCACTTCTGATGAAGGTAAAATGTCTCCATCATTGCAGGTTATGTCACAAGAACAGCTACTGACCTTGAACATATCTGAATACTCCACCTGCTCAAGACAAACATAAAATAACCAAGTAAACAGCTTGCCAAGCAGTGTGAAATTATCAGATTTCATCGTTCAAATTTTCAGTTTTGATTGCAAAAAATACTACAGCTCCAGGTGTACCTAAGCTTAGAATATTATTCATGGCAGAACAGCAACAGGATTTCCCACTCTTTAGAATGCTAAATTAGCAAAATACAATAAACTCATGTTGACACACCATATGAGATCAAAATGCAGCCTTAGTAAATAAGAGCAATGGATATGAGAACTGATAAGACTTGAGATAAGAGATAGAACAATATTATAATGAAGAAACATTATACCACAATTGTGCAGCTATCTTAAAACAAACAAACAAACAAACAAACAAAAACAGATAAATTAAGTGCAAGAAGGAACACAAATACAAAAGTAACAATTTGATAATTAACAATGTAAATAAATACTTGAAAAAGGGGAAAAGGACTAGCAAGAACAGTTTTAAAACCTTGCTAAATCTTGAGTAAATGTAGCAACTAAGTCTTGCTCCATTCACTTCAAGGAAAGAGTATCCTTTCCATCAAACTCGACACATTTTGGGATGCTCAGAATTTTGAAACACAGAGAACAACATTTTCCAAGATTTATACAGTGGGGGCAATTCACTGATTTTCCAAGGCAGCTTAATCCGCAAAGTATGTTGATGTTGGGCTCACTAGCTTGGCAAACACTACTTTTCTTAATCTAAAAACAATATAAATTATGACAGAATTTGTCCATGAACCTTAATCACACATCACTTCATGCTGCAGCTCCCAATTCTATCAATAATTTCTGCTCAGAGGTCTTAAAATTCATATAGTATCTGAAATACGTATTTTATTGAAGGCTTCCTAAATACTGAATTCACAAAATGGTGATAAAGCCAAATAAAAAAAGACAAAAAGGTGACAAAACATGAGGCTTTCAGAAGTCCTTAAATATAGATCAGTAATTGTTGAATATTATTTTACTTCACAAGTGTGTGATATGTTCATCTGATTCGTGTCAATATGGAACAATGCTAGGACCACATGGTATGATGAATGTGACCTTCTGTCCTACAGACCCTTGTATAACCACAAGTCTAAGAAAAACAGAGTGGTTAACGTATATAATTCTTGTACCTTGCAAAGGAATGTTTTAGCAATTCCTGTCAATAGAGAGCTTGAAGGGAAATGTATTTGTAGGCTTTTCCTTGAAGTCTCTGATATCTGGGGGGTTTCCGAATAACCACTAACTATTATGACTATTGCATGGGACATTGTGCAAGTTTCTGATATCTAGCCAGGAGATTAAGAAGACGGGGAGACCTGAAGAACAACTAAAAGACAAAGCTTGCAGGAGACATTGCACAAGTCTCTGACATACAGCCAAGTTGGACAAGGGAGAAGGACAAGAGGGAGGAAGACTATGAGCCTTCAGCACGCGAGACCACCAGAGACCCCCAGAGGGACCACCGGAGACTGATATGCATGCTCCAGTAGGAGGGTTTGAATTCCGGAAACTAATTATAATAACCCTGTTTTTTTCAGAAGTAGTAATGAATATGTATTAACCTAGGAGCGTAAGAATCAGCTGCTTGATATAACTGGTGTGTGTCTTGGTGGAGCAGAGACTCCCGGTGCACCCAGCGCTGTTTGCTTACCTCTATTCCTTTAATAAATCATAAAAATTGTAAACTTTGATTATAGTCCTATTTTGAAGACTGAGCCATTTATTACACTTCAAGAAAAAAAGAAAAAACAGTAAAAAAAAAAAAAAAGTAAAAAAAAAAGGCAGAAACTTATAGCATGAATTAGAAGTCTGATGAGAGTTCAACATTTACATTGACATTTGACTTCACTGGATAGAGAAAGGATACAGTTAAGTGAAAGCAGGGTATTTGGAAATTCTCAAAACATTAAATTACAAAAAGGTCATTTCCTAGGAAACTCAGTTCTGCTGTCTCTAGAAGGGCTCAAGGAGAGTTTTTAAGCGCCGTAAACAGTAAAGCTATGCTCTAAGAGGGGCTGATGTTCTTTGATTGGACTTCATTTTATTCATTCCTCTTAGGCATCAAAGCCAAGGCAATAATCAACTTTATGTGAATCAATTGTACACGAGAGGTTAAAAGAAGCCAACTAAATGTGACATAATAGCACAGATGAAAACTGCAATTTAGCACAAACACTATGTGTATTCCAACATTACAGTATACGAGCATCCAACAGCTTCTATACCATTTCCCACTCACTGAATTACACCTTCGACTACCATCAGTTGATATATTTTGCCATTAACCAGAGGGTCACATGAGAGCCCCAGCCCTTCAGGTAGAAAATAGAGAAGCAGGAAGATAAATCTGGAATAGAAATAGATCTCCAGTTGGATTATGCCACAACAACCAAGATAAAGAAAAAAAAAAATTTACAAGATGATCCTATATAGAAATATTCAGGCCGTACAGTGGCATGAAGTGCAAGAACTGCTACCATCTCCTTCTTGCAAATGGCTGTTTTATTGAGTTAGTTGCTTTCAACATGAATGTTCATCATAGAATCACAGATTCTTCTAGTTTGGAAAAGATCTCTAAGATCTAGTACTGTTAACCTAGCACTGCCAAATGCACTATTAAACCACGTCACTAAGCTCTACACCTACATGTACGTTTCCTGATACCATTCCAATAGCGAGCCTGTACTATTGACCATTGGAATGGTCACAACCCTTCCAGTGAAGACATTTTTCTTAATATCCAACCTAAACCTCTCCTAGTGCAACTTAAGGCTATTTTTGTCTTGTCTTATCACTTGGTGCTTGGTAGAATAGACCGATCCTCATCTTGCTATAACATAATTAGGCTTGCTTTAACATATGTAGAACGAGATAAGGTTTCCCAAACCTCCTTTTCTCCGGGCTAAACAATGTCAGCTCCCTCAAATGCTCCTCATAAGACTTGTTTTCCAGACCCTTCACCAGCTTCATTGCTCATGAAACTAAAAATTATCATGGAACACAGACATTCAAAAGGTACTAATATAATACACTGAGTTTGCATCTCTTGGTCCTAACCTGTGAGTAGTGATACTATCACAGTACTGTGTTGTTTTTTGTTCTTGTTTCTTCTAAATAAGATACATGGGTTTTACCTTCAATATGGTATAACAAACCATTATGAAAATAAAAACATGATGACTGGAAAGGGAGAAAGAAGTTCCAGCTTGACAATATGACAGTCATTTTGTTTCAAGCTTTACGTAAGTACCTTCTGAGAAATCTAGAGGTAGACATCTTGTATAAATGCTATGAGAGACCTGTAACTTTTCTCCATTCCCTAATCTTAAGGACCGAATTCATGACACTACACCACTGAATATGAAAAAAGCACCTATTCCATTTTTATGCCATCTGTGAAGATAGTTTTCAACTATGTCTCTAAACATCTTTTCTATAAATGTACTTCATAAAAAATTCATGAGTATGTAGTAAGACTCACAGATTTTATCACAACTGGTTTGCTGCAACCTACAGAACTCCTGTGTAGCTTTGTACTTTGTTAATGTTACATATAACCCAAATGCATGCCACATGAAATGTATTAATATTGCATCACAGATACATATAACGGAATTATATATCTGTGTTTATTCCTTTACACAAACAGCTGGTCAGTTGGAAATTTTTTTGGAAATTACTAAGAAGTACTAGAAATTCGATAAGGTTTCTCATGAACCAAAGACTATAAGAATAATTATAGACTACAGTTCATTTCAATGGCTATGACACATCACAACGATTCATTCAAGGCTGATGCCCACAATGCTCCAAAAACATAGGTAATCAATCACATTCAACAGCAGCACTGGTGTAGGCTTCAGCAGAAGTATTAGGTGTGGAACCTGGCACTAGAAGAACAGGCTCAATGCCAGCATAAGTAGAGCTGCCAGACTCTGTTTAGTAGCTATATTCAAATCTCATACAAATGTTGGTCTTCCATTCCTGTCGACAGAGAAAATAATCTAAGAATGTAAAACTAAAAGTTACAGACTGTCACAAATAGACCAACTTTCCCTGAATAATATTCTCATCTTTTTAAAAACAACAACAAAAAAAAATCAAGCTTGCTATAATGACATTTTAATTAAATCTTACAGAACCTATTTTACCACATAACATTTTCATGTTACTTCACAGAAGCAATATATTTTCCCGTTTGTTACACTGTTTCTCCCACACCCACTGTACATTGTGATACCAACCTAATTCTGGATCAGAGCCTGCATGCATGCATATGTTTAACTATATTCACATAACTCATGTCATTGATGTAAGCACACTCAGAATGAAGTTAAGCAAATGCACGAGCGTTCCAAGATCCAAATTCTCCCGTTGAAAAAGCCTGGGAGCTAGGACTTTGACTGATACAGCTGAAATTCCATGTAGTGGTCTTTTATGAAAACAACAGATTGTCATCTTAAAAAGCTTATATTCGCCACCATAAAAACTGGTATAAAAACCTATCACAACAAAATTCCAAAACTGATAGTTTCCCACTGAGCAGCAATGAGAATATAGTGTGGCAGAGAGCTCACAAGACATAAGGGAAGACTCTTTATTCTTCGCGGTTTACCTTGACAACATAACTCCTTAGAATAAATATAATGAGGGAGACCACATACATCTCTTTGCAGTATTTCAAGTACAGTATACAGACACACAGGACAGAAAGTCCTATACTATGAAAGACTTTAAAATAAACTACTTTTATTATGAAAAGAGAAAAAAAAAATCTCCCTTTTCAGAAAATTGGACTGAATCTGCAATCAAATGGAGTAGGAAAGAAAATCCTTTATTTTGACATAAATCACTGTACAATGAAGAGAATTCTGCAGTTATTTCTTAAAAAGTTTACAAAAGTACTTGTAACAAACAAACTGGAGTTACCCATATTTTTACCATGCAGAAAGGAAATTAAACGTTACCAGGTAGAAATAACATTAAATGATGACAAGGTATTAAAAAAAAAATGCCACCAACAAAACAGGTTTTGCAACTTGAAATTTCCTCCTGTACCCTTTAATACCACTTAAAAAGTCTAGTTCCTGAAGCTAAAGTCCTAGATGGAGATTGATTAAAATAATTCAGGCTAGAAGAAACTGGACAGAAAGAGGTTACAAAGTGAAATCAAATCTGACCTGCAGGACCACACTCCTTTAGTACAAAAGGCATGTAAATATCTCCCAAGTGCCTTTTCTAATATGTTAAAAATCATTCATCTCCAATTTAACCTGTGAAATTGATTTGTTGACAGGGACATAACTGCTTGCAATACTGAAATGTGTTCCACCAATGTAAAACATGCCAAGATGTTTTATAACCAGGAAAATAAATGAGCCTTGCAATATCAATTTATGGTAGGTAAATACAATGCAATACTATGAATTAGTAATCCTACTACAAGAAAGTACACATCAGATATGATTATCTGTTGCAGACGAATAGGCTCCTTTCCTTGTGCCAAATGTAGCAAGAAAGCTACATGGCTCCCTCTCATTCTGGACTATCCCCAACCTAAGGAGCTGCAGTTTTACAGCTTGTGTCATTTGATGTATCTGTCTTTCTACCCATTGGGACTCAGAGAACAGAGCATTCATTATTAAATGTGGGCAAGAGCAATTATTAGAACATAAATGATAGCTAATATGTTCACTACTGGTATCAGAAGTACGCTCAGAAAGAATTACCAAATCAACAGAAGCTCCATTTCTGTTTCATTTCTGTTTCTGATCATTTAAAAGACAATACAGTTCAACACAGTAACAGAACATTATAATATGGGGAAAATACAAATGTTTTGCAAGTTCATTTTGCTGGCAATGTAAAAAGGAAAAAAAGAATAGTTATTGCACTTTTAAACAGTTATATTTTACCTTATTTGGAAATATAATAATTAAATATGTATTGAATACAAAAGCTGATACATTTGATTTAAAAAATGCTGGAAAATGCTTCTGAAATTGCTTCCCACTCAACAAATTTAAACGTGCAAAAGACACAATCATACTGGCCAAGTAAAATAGCAATGAAACTAGATATGTGTATTATGTATATCACAGCAGTGACCCTGTTTTTTTTACAATGAAGTAAATGAGACAACCATGAATTTTCAGCATGAGTGTTTTATTTGCATTATTTATTCTTAATGTTTTTGAAGAATACCTGCGAAAAAAAGTTTTCTTACACCATTTTTTATCCTAATTTTTAATAGCGTTCTAATAATAAAATCATACATTTGATTATCTCTTTAGTCTTTTCTGTATCACTAATAATGAAAGAAAGAAGGAGGCATAAAAAGAGAGCTTGAATTATTATGCAAAAATACATCTTGAAGTTGCACAGTAATGTATTAAACCAGAACAGTGAGTAAAATGTTATTTCCCCCCAGGCACAAGGGCTCATTTTGCTGCCAGAAACAATCTAAAGCAAATTTCTACCCAGGCTTTGTAGTTAAACATGAAGAAATTTATCTGAAGAAAATGCATTATAGAGGAGGAAAGACAACAGAGACTAAGGTACACTAGCTATGATTGCATAATGATTATAAAGTAAATTTAAAGAATGTAAAACTAACACTTGTAGAACATAACTAAGATAAAATAGAATAAAAGTTAGAAATAAATAGAATAAAAGTTAAAAATATGTATGAATCAGTTGAAATGATAACAAAACTGATATCATAATACTTATTAGAATTACACATCACTGTGCAGACTATTAATGGTTTCTACAAAGAGCTTCTATAAGTGGCCACTTTTATGCATTGCTCATAATAGAGTGTTTTGCCCAATTTTCAGTAATCCCTTAAAAGCCTGAAATGAAAATTAATTCTCCTCCTAAAATAGTTTTTTTTTTTTTTTTTCCCCTGCAGCGATTTGTTATTGGCTTTCAAGTGCTGAATTACTAACTGATATTTATTTTTTTTATGAACTTGTAAGCACAAAATAGTGAGAAAAAAATACAGTCCTACAGGCATTTCATTCTTGAAAGTCTCTCTATTATTACTTAGTTAAACTGTGCTAACTTCGTAACATGCTATGCTCTGAAAGATTGACTGGTTCTCCATATTCACAGCTTCTTGAAAACCCAGCTTATTTTATCATGACATAAAATAAATTAATCTATAGACAAAACATTCTGATACTTTTCATTGTGAGGCAGCCATGGCATAAAACAGACTATTTTCCTTTTAACTCTATAAGACATTAGTTTATATACCAAAATCCAGGGCATGCCTCTGTAAACCTTACCTCTTAGGGAATGTGACAGCTTTGTCTACAATGAATTTGAAATATGATTCACTACAATGCTACTTGAAACTGTGAACATTTAACCAAATCTAAAACATCTATGTATGAGGGAAAAAAGCTTCTGAACAGATAAAAGTAAAATCTTGATTCTCATATAAAATGTTATGCATTTTAATATGACTTTTGCCTGATTTATATAAAGCTTTGTGTTTTTCATTTTCCCTAGCCTGTCACATTGCTGAGATGTATGGTGTATGTTAGCATCAAGTTTGCCAGGAGCAACAAAGTCAGTGCTCTTAAAGAAATATTAATATATTATCACTAGTCCCCACCATGCCCCCACCACCAATTTTCTCTTATTCAGACTATATGGGTTTTCCTCACATAGTTAGTTAACATCCACACTCTACTACACACATATTTGAAAGAAATGCAAACTAGAAATGGACAGGGTGGAATACAATTTACTTTCTGTGGCAAGAATGAGGTCATCATGAAATAAACAAACAAACAAACAAATAAATAATGTAGATATTGTATCTGTTTGGAAAGATTTAAAAAAAAAAAGAGGTAAAAAAGTGTATCAGATATTGAAGAAAATATGGAAATGTAGTTGCTCAAAACAGATGAGATGTAAAACATCTGTGGAATAACATTTTATAACAATCCTTGAACCTAGAAGAGGTTCAGTGATCACCGAAGTGTAGAAAGAAGTAGGAAAACCTGTAAAGAGATGACTACAACAGTAGCAGGAAGATCATGAGACATGCTTTCCAACAACAACAACAAAAATTAGGAAAAATGACTCACTTGACCTTCTTATCTCACATAAAAGTTTGCAATACTTAAGCCACTAGAGTTCTTATTCCTGTTCTGCTTCCATGGAATCAGAAGCTAAAAGAACAATCCCAGTGAACTACTAAGAATTCTCTTAAGCTCTTTGATGACTATATATTCTCTACATGATTTAGAGTCATTAATTAGATGTATATTTCATATGGAAAAAATTAAATGACCAACCAGTGTTTTTTTCTTTTTTTTTTTTTTTAAACAAAACAAACAAACAAACAAAAAAACTCAACCACTTGTGGGCCAGAAGGTTTTAAAATCAGTCACTTTGCATCAAAAACAGCATAAATAGATGTCACCTCCCAACAAGTCAACACTGGTCACACAGTTACTAATACAGCTGTGTTCCATGGTGTGGCTAGCTGTATGACACAGGTTACATATCTGCTTGGTTGCACCATGTTGACTAAGCACCTTGAGGTTTCAAGATGAAAAATGCTACACAAATATACTACCTTCATTCATTTGACACAAGGAAGCATTTGTGTTGAACTTTTCTAATGGAAAACTCAGAAATTCAACTAAATATGTACAAAGTTACTTCAAAGTAACATGAGAGTATGTAGCTTAACAACAAATCTTGACAAAAAATCAACAACAACACATAGCTTTAAAGGGAGATGACATTTGGAATCTACTTGCCTTATTCTCCAGGTGCAATTTTAAAAAACGAAGGTAAGCCACAGGTGCAAATGCATCAGCTGAATGCACAACCACCTTTGCTGAATCTCTGAAATACAAAATTATTAGCATCACATATTAATGTATAAATTTACATTTAAACTGTCAATGTTTAGTCACTGTACAACAGACTGTAAAGTAACTTATTGATTATCTATTAGTTAATTGTGTTTTTTTAATAACAATTAAGAAAACAAGTTTGACATATAAAGTCACTTTGTTCAACAACACATTATCTTTACTAATTTTGAAAAGGAGTAACTGTACTTTCAGACCAGCACTGAGAGATTTAGCTAGCTGTAGCTTTTGCAATCATAACTGACATTCTGTTTTGCATTCCAGAGACTAATATGTAAAGCAATCTCTTCATTGCATCAACAGAAGATTTTTTTAAAAGTCTTTTTTTCCTCAAGTGATTCTCCAGGGACCAGTTCTTGAAGTATTAACACCATACAATATTTCACGCTGAGAAACTGACTGATTTGACCATCTTGCATCTGATACTGAAGACTACTAGACACAACTTTTTAATGCCAAATGTGTTTGTAACAATGATAAACTTCCTGTGTGCTGATTCAAATTAGTTAATTGTAGTTTTCATTTTTACAGACACAATCTGTCACACTTTCATTCAGAAGAGGCAGTATCTGTTATATCCATATGCATGGTTTTACTGCTTAAGCAAAAGGTAGCTCTAGGAAACAAACATCAGAAGGTGAGAAATTCAAAGAAAACATAAGAGAAACTTAGATGCATTAAAAGAAAACCTGAAAATTGTTATAAGCAAGGCTAAGGACACGCAGATAATTTTCCTGAAGCCACGGTGCCCTTGATACCCTCACAGTATACAACGAAATCCTGTTTGGAATCCCCAAGCCTAGCTCCTCTCAAGTAATGACACATGCAAAAACCATGCAAACTGGAAACAATTGAAGTCTTGGCCAGATTCCACTGACTTAATGACAGCGTAAAATTAACAGAAATATATGCTTTTTAAAATGTGACTTAAGATTTAGAACAAAAAACTCATTGAGATAATCACCATTAGTATATTGCACAATAATGATAAATACTTCTAGCATAAGAAACTCTGCTTCTCTTTTAATAAACTTTTAAAGAAATTTTTTGATAGTCAGGTCTCCAGCTTCAGTCCTGAGACTTACCATCAAGATTTTAAAGACAAAATATTATGTATTCTTTTAAATTTCCTTAAAGATTGTTCTTTAAGATTAAAGTAATTCTTTTCAAATGATCACGGTGTCTTTTTCTTTTACTTTTAACAGAAATATCGTAAATGGGTAGAAAATCAGTTTGGAAATCTTTAGTATGGGAAAACAATGTTAGAAATCAGACATTAAGGAAAAGCAAAATTTTAGGGTTATTCATTGGACATGTCTGCTTAATTTAAACACCTAGTAACTTTTTTAAAATACTAAATTCTGAAGTAAAAGTGGCAGTACTACTTGTAATCCCAATTCAGCAGTACAGTAGTATGCATGCTGTACTGATACACAGGTATCCATTGATACCTACATTGTATGTCCAATAACTTCACAATTTTTTAGCACTTATTCGTTATTCAAGTATTGTAAATAGCAAGACATCACAAACATTTCTTCTAGGTATGAAATACATTGCTATGACATATAGCTAACACATTGATCTTTGATGATGCCATAGTAGATGTCTGGTTTAATACGTCAGTATTTCTCAACTAATGGGTCAAAATAGATAGAATATGTGGCGTTGAAAATAGTATTACGATACATGTCAAATAAAATTTTTCTTCAAACACTTCATTTTCTGTCAGCCTCTCAGAACATACATCATTGTTCTAATAAAATTCTAACAAATAGAATCTTTTTCAATACTAAATGTAATAGAGGTGGAAAATAGAACAGTTTTGTTTTCAACAATAAGTCACAGGAATTTTATTGATGAATATTTTCAGAAGACTTTTGAAAGCAACAAAAAGTAGTTTGAAAAACGTTCTGAATTATCTAGTTTTAAAATCATAATCATCTGATCCCTCAAAACTTATTGAAGACCCGGGAAATATCTATTTACTTTAAAACAGTCAGAAATATTTTCCGAAGACAAACATGACTAGTAAGAGCAAGCCTTTTTGGTTTTCCTCTTATTCTGAGATTTAGTATTGACTCCAAACCTGGAACCCTAAACCTAAACACAAAGGTAATGACAACATTTATCAGTGTAAAATTGTATTTCCAAAATATTTTCAGTATGTCAATTTAACTTAAAAAATATAAAACACTTTGTGTTCCATAAATATTAATGGGCCTTTATCATAAGGGTATATATTAGATGGCATTCACATAGATGAGGACTACATCTCTCTGATTTGCAGAGGTGTCAATCAATTGCACTATAAATATCGGTGTAATAACAGACAGAAAATGATTGGTATGTCTTAAATATTGAGTATAAGAAAGCTGACAACTGGATTACAACAATCTGGTAAAACCAGATAAAACACGTTTGACTCTTGGTTGACTACTCTGGTTGTAAGATTTTATTATTTGTTTTTAATGCTAAATCTTGTTTATTTTCAATTATTTCATGCAATTTGGCATGCTTGGTTTGTGAAGTGTATTTTTTGATGAAGATTGAATGGAATGGCAAGAATTCAATTTAATATTCAAATGCAAATTTAATCTTATGCTCTTACACTAAATAGACTCCCACTTCTCTATAAGTCACACATCGAGGTTATTTTTATTTTTTTTCCTTGGTCTAGATTTCCTTTCTCAAAGATGACACTGTGGAAATATATCACAAGTCTCATGTGACAAAAGCAGCAACCAGTGAAAATGCTACCCAAAAGTAGTTTTATAAACGTTAGGCATATTTTCTCCTCTTTTACTAGGTTTATGTGGCAAAGTTAAGAAAGGTTAAAAAAAAACAACAACAAATGCTGCACAGCAGTTGTGAGAGGGGGTAATTAAGAAAAAAATATGTCAGAAACAACCCTACAGACACCAAGGTCAGTGAAGAAGCAGATGCTCCAGGTGCTGGAGCAGAGATTCCTCTGTAGCTTGTGGAGAGGACCATGGTGATGCAGGTTGTCTCCTTGCAGCCCATGAAGGACCATGTTGGAATAAATATCCTTTCTGCAGACTGTGAAGGAAGACACAGGGCTGCAGCAGGTGGATGTGCCCTGAAAGAAGCTGTCACCTGGGGAGAGCCCATGCAGGGGCAGGCTCCTGGCAAGAGCTGCAGCCCATGGGGTCCCACATTGGAGCAGACCAATAATTTCCCCCAAGTCAAGTCTGTTTTGCCCATGATGGTATTGGGTAAGTCATTTCCCTGTCTTTATCTTAACTCACAAGCTCCTTAACTGCATTTTCTTGCCCTGTGTGACTAAGGAAGTAGAGAGTAAAGGTGTCTTGGTGGGCACCTGACAGCCAGCCAAGATTAACCCACTATACCTATTATACAGGAAAGAATTATCTCCAATATCTTCCATAGAAACTTTCTCTAGCGAAAAGTTTCCAAGGAACTTAGGACCTTGAAAAATCTGTACAGGTTTCAACCTCTAGCTTGTAATTCTTAAAATTCCATTTATGCCTCAAAAAAGTATCAGGATATATACCACAATCACAGTTATCACAGTTATCTAAACATTTGGAAACTGTACCAGCATAACCAATAACATAGTCTGTTTAGCTTCACACAGCGTGCATGAAAAACAAGAATAAAAAGTAGAAAATAACATTATTATAAATAACTTATTTAATGAAGAAGAAACTACAAATATTTTCAGTGTAAAAAGTAATAGATTTTCACACAAATGTCCCTCTCAAAAGCTATGCCTTTATGACAAAGTAGTAGAAGAGCTAAGCAGGGCCTGTAGGTGTAGGCCTTAGCTCTACACCTGGGAGACACAATGTCAGCATAGCTATTCAGTTTCCATTACAGAAATGTATATTTAGAACTAGCTTGAGTAGCTGTTTAACAGCCTACTGTGTTTATATTTATTATTATACAAACACTGATTTATATACTTGTCTTTTCCTGCATTTTTGTGCATTTATTGTTAACTTTTGTTATTATTTGGAGTGTGGCCAATAGAAATAAGGACAAGTCAGCCTCTGTTTTAGCTAGTCCAACTATTCAGTTGTCTGAATGGCTCATTAAACCACTGACAGTCAGAAATACATTCATAATATATATTAAGATATTCTTACTTAAACTGGAATTTGGCTGATCCCAAACCAAGGGCACAATGTGCTTTCCTAAATGTGTTCTCAAACTCTTTGCAAATATAGTTCCTGTAGGACCTGATGGCAGGATAAAAAAATGTTCTCTCCCCACACAACACCAACCAAAAATTTCTCGAGACTTAACAGTTTTCTACGCAATGTGTTATGTATGCTAAAAATCCATTGCGTGTATGCAAAGAGAGCTTTCTAAAGAAGGATTATGCATCTTAATTCCAACGGAACTCCCAGATTTAATCTGTAGCATAAACCCCCAAATAAATAGTACAAATGTAAATGATAAGCCAAACACATTTAAGTGCAAAAACTTATAGAAGCGTATTTCATCCATCAGTTAAAACCTAGCTACTCTTCTGAAGTATATGCTTTACTTCAAGTGTTGTAATACAAATGCTGATTAGGCCACAATTGCCTGGTAACTGGTAGTTTCACTCCTTAAAAAAAAAAAAAAAAGTTTAGCAAAATTCTGCCTCTGACACCTACTGGAATTTATGAGAACTTGTCAATTTAATAGAAATCATATCAGACCTTAAATGGAAAAACGAATCTTGTACTAGCAAAGATTTTGCAATTTTTTTCTTTTTCTAGAAAGAGACCAAACTGGTTCAATCTGCGTGTACATTGTGTTGTTTTGTCCTAGTTCTTCCCACAGTTTATTTGTCATAATGCATACTTACGCACCACACATGCTTTATTCTACCCTCCTGCTTAACTTTCCAACTCCTACCAATTAGCACGTTAGTTCTCAAACTACTACTTCTACCTAGGACTAATTGCCCTCAGACAATATTCTTCAACAAGTCTCACTTCCTAGATCCACAAGTCCATCCACAAACTTAAATCCAGTTTAAGGATTCCACATTCTTACTTTCTGAATTTTCCTCTTATTAGAGAATTCCATAGCTTTCCTATATGGAGATGTCTCCAGGCTCAAATTATCTAGTTTAGTTGACTACAGAGGATTTATCTTCCAGTCAACCAATAGCTCTGCAGACATCAACTAGACTAGCTTCTATCCCTTTGCCCATTTTGTATATTTTTTTTTTCTGTCTTACTGCCATGCAATGAAACAAAGTTGAACAGCTCTTAGTTTTCTGCTCCATATATAGATAGAACCCATCACTATGGAAAAATTAAACAAATAGGTCTTCAACATGAAAGCCTTAACCATGTCTATCTTTTCTACAATCTTGACCTTTCCTAAGATGATCATCACCAAATACATGATTAGTATTCTGTTTACTTGGCTAAGAAAAGGAACAGCAATCAAAACATCTCACTCAAAGCTTACCTTAGCTATTTAACAGTTTAACAAGAAACTTACATCAAGACTCATCAACCATATCCCACTACACAGATTTTAGCAATTTATGTTGAAGGAATAAGGTATTTAGTGCAAGTTAGATGGATTCACCGAAGTTTGTATTCAAAATATCCTCTAATAATTAAAGAATCACGTTGATCATTCTAAGCTGCTAAATTTACACAAGCCCACCTGCAAACACATGCACACACACACACACAGTTAATGGAACCCACAGGCTACTGATGTGGCAGTTTATCAAATGTAGCTGTAATGAAAGATAAATATTACAGGCAATTCGCACTTCATGAAAGGATAAAAGTGTCAGTGTGTAGGTACCAGTTTTACTGCAGGCCATAATCAGCAAGTAAACGAAAAGTGCAAATGTCTAAAAAGTTTATAGCCTTCTATGAAGGCCTCGTCTTGTCAGGTATTGATTTAGGTTTTTGGAGGACTTTGCCAGTGTTAAATGAAGTGAGTGTTTGTGAACTTAGAGGACATGTTTTACCTCTGCCAACACAAGTTGCCTCCAGCTAAATGAGAATTTGTTCACATTGCTTTAATATAAGGAAATGGAAGAAAGTGTTCCTTACACAACAATTTTCTTCTTAAACAGAGGGCAGTCCAGAGTGAATGTTTCATATTCTCCACCTTCTCCGCAAACGTGGACTCCGTATTTCTCAGAAAGCTAACACAAAAGGGAAATTTAAATATGTAAGCATTACTCTATTAAAGATATTTTGCATAAAATTTCAGTGTGTACTTTCTAAAAGACCACATATTAGAAGGCTGAAAAAAATTAAATATCACATAGAGGGTTCTTGACTTCTTTGTATGGCCCATCACAATGATCTAAGAATTATCAATGTGTTATATTTAAGTAGAACTGGCACTATAATGTTCAGATAAACAAATGAAATCCTAGTAATTCTTCCACAGTAGACAGGAAAGGTTGTTCAGACACCCAAATTTGGTTCTCTCTCTTTAGCATAGAGTTCACTTCTGTGACAATCTTGTACTATAAACCAATACAAGATGTAACACTTTACATAGAAGTATACAACAAATATAATTTTTGGCTACAGATTCAACAATTGCTTCTACATCTTGGTAAATATCCACTATTCCCCAATATTCTAACAAATAGAATCAACAGATTTTCTAATAGTGAAAAGTTAAAAAAAAAAAAAGTAGCGATATGTTATTTCGTTTCCAAATTGTACTGAATACACTGTCAGCATATAAATTTATAAATATTCCTGAAGATCTCAATATCCAACTAAAACACATAATTGTTTTTTACAATTAATTAATTAATTGTCCAATAAATTCAAAATAAGAGACGTGACTAGTTTAATTATTCAGTGCTCTATAAATGAGTAGCTGTAGAGCATGACCCAAAGTTCTTTTGCTTGAGTTGAGTGCACAACTGCTGTATAGTTTTCTCTGTAATTCTACATTAATATATTGTACCAATAGGTACATTAATATATTGTACCAAGCACCTGCACCATGCCCAGAGCATAGCAGCACCATCCCTTTTTCTGCAGAAGAAATTCCTATCCTGATCAGCAGATTGTATCATCTCAAAGTGTTCCAGCAGTAGCTGCTTCAAAACAAGTCCTGTCCAGATTTTTTCATACAAAGAAAGCATTAGTTCATGACTACCTAAACTGCAGTCCTCAACCCAATGTCATTATTGGGAATATTTATTTAATCCCGTTATGCTTTCCCTTAGAGGAACAGATGCATAATATGATGCTTTTTCAGTTGAAGTAGGAACACTGTTCTCCACCACATGTAGGAGGACATGGTTGGAAAAAGTCTGACTGAGGGCTTTACAATAATCCAACATCTCTTGTTTGTCAATTTTTAGGTAAATAAGAGACTCCTAATTTTATATTGTAGGTTCAATTCTGCATGTGGTTATCAGAACCATGTGTAGCAATCCCATTTGATATATTCAAATGATACTGTATTTTTAGTATTGAAATTGAATGTATAGTTAGTGTTACTATACTCTAGAGTTTTCTCAAAGGTTTTTATTTTAAAAATTTGAAGAATATTTACAGCTTCAGCCATCACCTTAGCTAAAAAGAAAATCAAAAGCATGAAAGACAAGTTTGAAATACATGAACCTTTTTGTCATACAATTAAAGACCAAATTTTAAATTTAAGAAATTAAACAAAAGGCCTGAGTCCTCTTCAACTTTTATTTTGAAGGAAAGTATAAGTGCTCTGAGAAGACAATTCCTAAGTAATACTCTACGTGACCTTCTATTGGAAAAATCTCAATCTCTTTTGCAAGACATATTAGATGATGTTTTGAATGTATTGTTATCCGAGACGTTTTTCATTTCCCTTTCACATTTTCATTTAAAGAAAAGTAACTGGAGAAAAACTTTAATCAAGTGCTCATTAAAAAATTGCACTCCTGGCATAAGAGAGAACTTCATCTGTCAACAGTGGCAAAAAAATTTCCATAGGACAAATATATCAAGAATAATTAATGTTGATGCAATAAGAATGGACAGTCTACAAAACAGTTAGTCAAAACCTTTTATTCTTCTTGCTGTAGCTTCCACTGGCAGGGGAAAAAAAGGAAGGAAGGAAGGAAGGAAGGAAGGAAGGAAGGAAGGAAGGAAGGAAGGAAGGAAGGAAGGAAGGAAGGAAGGAAGGAAGGAAGGAACAACAAAAATAAACAAAACTCTGAGGTAAAATGGAAGAGAAAACTGGACAAGATCTTTGTACCAGTAACCTTTTCCACAGGGAACACAAGAAATGACTGTTTACAAGCCATTTTTAAAATTGGCAGGTTTGCTTGTAAACTTCAGAGCCTAGAATAATTATTGCCTATTTAACATCAAATACTCAAAAGATGTGAGACTCTTTCCTGCCTTTGTTGTGGGAAATCCCTTTTTTCAGTGTCACTGACTTTAAGATTGTACTTGACACCAATCACATAAGATGCTAAAGGATTTTCACTTGCCCCTGTCAACAGGAGCTGAGGATATTCAGCACCTCATAGAAAGATACCTAATGTTCATTTGCTAAAGAAGTGAGCAGTATTTTAAAGATTCCATCAACAACATCAGAACTTTGCCTTTTAATCATTTGTTTACATTTTTCAGAAATTGTTTTGCAAGTTGGACAGTACATTCATAATAATATAGCAACTTAGACGAATCTCTATTTTGTTATGCTAAATCTGCCTTTTAGTTCAGATAAGCCAGAAATTTAAAAATTACACAACTAAAAATTCAAGTCCAATTTGAAATCTGAAAGAATTATACAGTGAAAACAATTTCTACACTATTCAAAATCCATCTTAACTCAAATACACAAAGTGTAAGTCCAAATATTACCCAATGAACAGTCTTTTCTGACATTGGAAATGAAACAGGAGTAAAGTTGACTTTCTCACTGATGTTGAATAATCAAAGATAGAATATCTGAATGCTAGTGCTTCTTGTTTCAAGTGAAAACTTTTTTTCCCCAGACAGAAATTGTAACAGCTAGTAAATTCTCTGTAATTACAGAAATGTTCTTTACATCAAGAAGTACTCGACAACTTCTAAGGCAAGCACACAGATGACTAAACAATTTCTTACTGTCTATTATAGAGACAGAAGTACAGACAAATATTACAATAATATACATTTAACATTCTATTCATGGATTTCAAGGAGTCTGTAAGAAGTCTCTGAGATTTGGCAGGTTGCCAACAAATTCTTTAGTGTAAAACCTACAGTTTAGGTTCCCATGTATATGGGAAACAGTGGTACATGGAACAATACAGTAATTTAGGAATTATGCTGCAACCATTCATCAATAACTAATCAAAGACAATAATCAAAAATAATTTAGAACAAAAATAATTCAAGAACCTTCATTGCCACTGTTCTGAGCCAGTAAAATTCACCCCTGAAAAAAGTATGGGTTGTACTCAAACCTCCTGTATATAGTCAGAAAAAAAAAAAAAAAGCAAAATTAATTCCAAGTTTTTTCCACTCAATACAATCAGAAGACCAGAAATTTAAGCGACTATGTATTGTTTCCAAAGTTAAATAATTGATTGGATGAAAGCAGAGTTTCCCCTCCCACTCTTTCCATTAATATTGACACTTGTTTTATAATGTCTCAGATAAAATAGCTACTTCATGCTTATTTCCTGTATGTCTAACAGACAAATTACAATGTGATATAAATTGATTTTGATTTTATTGTTAGTTCCTTAAGGTTACCTATTAGAATAAAATAAGTTTATATCATGCAGTCTCAACTCCTGATCTTAGTAACAGAGAAGCGGAACTTTAACTTTCACATGCTAAAATGTAAAGAAGGATGTTTCCATGAAATCCCAGATCAAAATAAGTTGCGTGACTTGATACAGAACATGTTACAGTAGTATATCAAAGACCCTGTTATACTCAGAGGCATTTTTCTGGTCACTGAAGTAACGAACATATAAACTGGCTTTCAACAAAACTCAAGAACAGGTAAAACACTATTTAATTTTTTTTTATACAGAACAGCAGAAATTCACACAAACTTGCATGCCACACTAGCAAAAATGCTACAAGGAAAAATCTTACACCCTGCTGAATATAAAACTACTTTATTGACATCTAAAATGATTTTAAGATAACCCAGAAGAGAATCCCACTGTCTACCAGAATTTCTGGTGTTGAAGACTTCACTGGGTTGTGAAAGAATGTGTCAAATCATTAACCTAAGCTTTTCTCTACAGTCTATAGCTAATGATTTGATTTCATTAGGCCTTTACTGGATAAGTATCCAGTAAAAACAATATATTTGCACTTACTTTATCTGTCACAGCATGCATACATACAGAAGAAAGTTACATGAACAAACATCAGCAATGCAGTCTCCGTCCAAAAAAAACTTGACAACCAGTTACAAATAGCGTCAGAATGTCTTATTACATTTAACCATTCTACCAAACTATTCTATGATACAGATATCATAGAATATGATATTCTATAGATATCTATATATCTATATAGATATATAGAATAGATACAGAATATATCTATATATATAGATATATATATAGATATATAGAATATCATAGAATACCTTAAGATCATTGCTGTTCTATTTATTGGCATATCAATAAAAGATAAAAACGACAAAGGTGGGCTTTGAGAAATATTAAATCATGACAGTGAGAACTTCAATAAAATCAACTAATAAGCAGTTTAGCCAAGTTATCAGGAAGAATCTGAGTACTTTGGGATTTCTTAATTCATGATTTTCTTTTTTAAAGTGAATGATCAAATGGAAAAAAAAGTAAGACAATCTGAGTGTCTTGAACATTCATTCTTCATAATTAGCTTTGCCAACTATCTATCCTTATGCCTCAAGCTATATAAATGACTAAGAAAATTAAGTTAAACAACAAGAAGTATTTTTAGGAATTGTTTTGTGCAAATTTAGATGGCTTAGGCTAATAAAGTTTACAGCAAAACTCTGTAAATAGCTAAACACAAAGAGTTGTGGGTTGTTAACTGTCTTGTGGACAAGAAATCAGTAAACTCTGTCACAAAACAACATACAAAAACACATTTTCAGGTCAATTATTCTCAAATTGTACTTAGCTCAATTTTTGATGCTTCTACCTCAAACCCAAAAGAGACTTACAAAATCTGGTCTTTTTATTCCTAGTTATATAATTTATCTTAAATATATATATATATCATATATATATATAGTATCTAAATTGCATGCAATTATTTAATTTTATCTTATTTACACGTGCTAATATTTTCTTAATATTGAAGCTTCTTGCCCTTATTCTGTTTTAAAGATGCTGGCAACAATTGTGAACTACCTTCAAAAGGAATGTTTTTCATACTGAAAGTGTTTATCAGAGGCCAATGTTCTCTGTACAATAAACGTTAGGTTAGGATCTAATTTCTCAAATAACTAAGTATTTTTGATCAAGTTAATTTTACAACTAGAAAGTGATGTTGCAGAAAGTCAATAACTTTGCCTGTATTCTTTCAGTAATACCTCCAAAAGATAAGGCTCCATTTGATCCAATGTTTTTCCTAGATGCTTATCTGGATCTAAACCTGGAGTGGAAAAAAGAAAAAAATGTGTTAAAATATGTTTTTAAAAGTACTATTATTATTATTTTTTAATTATTTCTTTCTTTATGCTACATATCTCCCTAAGAAAATAATCCTACTGTATCTAAAATAAGTGTAATCCTAAGGAAAACAAACTTTGTCAGAATTGTCTCATCCCCTCTGGGCAAGTCATTTCCATGTTTGTGAAGAATAAGGCCAGTATCTTTTGCACTGCATGTCAATTAAAAAAGCTATCATTTTCCTTTATTCGAAATTTCAGTAACCAGTAAACATCTTGGTCCACAGTAATAAATAAATAAATAAATAAACTACACAGAAATAACCTTCCTAAGTCAGAAGTTACCTTTCTATATACATATTGAATTAAAATACTAGTTAATTTCTTGTAGTTCCTGCAAGAGAGATACATAAATTATTGGAGGGGACACAGACTACTTTCTGTAATAAAAACTCTTTTGTGTGTGTTACCCTTAATCTTTGTGTTACTTACAGAATGCCTTTAATGTTTTATCTTTTGATGTACTACAAAATATTCTGTAAGATGTCTACATTTTGATTTATTTTCCTAGATAAAAAGTAAGGCCTTTTAGAATTTGACAATTCTAATAACTTGCCTGTCTGCATTCCTGTCTTGGCTTCTTGCCTTTATGAGTTTTGCCAACTCATGGCTGTTACAGTGTCACTTCTCAGGAATAAAACAAATAATTGACGTTAATCAGTACTGGGATAAAAAAAGGCCAGGAAAAACTGTTTCAAGAGTAGGCATCCCAATCAGTCAGTAACCAAATTAACATCCTAGTTATGTTGGAGACTACGTGGTCAAAAGGTCTTAACACTCAGAGTAAGAAAGAAAACAGAATGATGACTTCTGACAGTGAAGGTACACTGGAAAATTTTCAGTGATCCCATTTTCTAGTGCTCATCGCAATGCTTGTCTATTTCTTCCTGCTGTAATGCTTTATATAATAATGGATATCATCAAAGAATTGCCACCAGAATGACTCCATTTAGAAGCAATTTCTGAAGCATGTACCTTGCAAAGCACTTTAGCTCATTGATGATGAAAGCTGTTACATAAATGTATGGCATACTATTATATGAAGTCTTTGCTGAGTTCAAATAGCTGATATGCCTTTTAATTTTTACAGTGATGGGCTTGGTATACTTAAATTTCTGTGAAACTAAAGCAAGTTAGAGTGAATGAGATTTCAAAACATTAATAAAGTTTTAAAATATTTCATTAAAGTGCATGAAAAATTCCCTTACTATCTGGGGAAACACTTTACAAACCACTCAATAATTAAAATGAAGGGGGTCAGTTTCTTCTCCATCTGTTTTTTCTTTTGGTATTGGTTTCTTGCTCTTTATTAACAGAATGAAAATGTGTTGCCACATATAAGATATGGATCATTGAGGTTTGTGAAAATTAATTCAAAAATATCTTCATTTCAATAGATTTACTTTGCTCTGAAAAGTAAAAAACTTTTTTTCAAAACAATAAATTCAAAACTCCCACTATTTTCCATACTGCATCAGACCAACAGTGCATCTATTAATCTGCTATATAATGGAGCAAATAGGCAAATAATGGAAATGTTCAAGAAAAATGTTATTCTTGAGATATATACATATATGTATATCTAAATATATGTATTATTAGATGTGGTTATAAGCACTGACTTACCCCATATGGGATATTGGTTTGTCTCATTCTTCTGATATATATCTCATCTATGTTGGCACAAACCATATATATATTTCAAAACTCTATTCTTTGCTGTAAACTTATTTATAAAGAACTATAAATACAGAATACAACACACAAGACATAAGAAAATACAGAAGAGACCTTATCAATCTAAGTTTGGGGATGAACACTTTGAAGATTTACAAAATCAACAACTTATGCTCTTAATTTTGAAAACTAAATATATGAAGTAGTCAGCTACTTCTCTCAACATCTTCATTTCACAGGTACTATTTTTCTTGCTTGCTATTTTTAAACTTTTGCAATGATTTGCTGTAGCTGGAGAACCTTTTCTCCACTGTGGACAGAGTTAATTTACATCTATGCATGCTAATTTAGAAACTCAAGGTAGATTATACTCTTCAATTTACAGTGACCATGAAGCACATGAAGTGAAGCTATCATACCAACTTCATTAAAAATAGAACAGAAGCATTTGTGGTATATGCTGTGGTGAAAGCTGATCTTGTCTACAGTGAACAATTCCAACGACTCTGGTGGTATCTTCCAATTAATACCAGTTTAGCATTATGTCCTTGATTTTAATAGGACAGGTATTAGTTAAACATTCTGTAATGAATACCATATTATATTAGTCATTAGAAATTTAGATTAACATTCTCCATTAATATCATTACTTTTCTTATAAATTCAGTCCCTTTCCTTAATAAAGCTAATTGTTTTCCTTTAAATTTAAACTAAGGGTTTACATTAGAAACAAGTGAGAAAGGAAAGATGAAAAATAAACATTTACTAACATACTATGCTCTCACAACTTGTCTTTGATATGAAGAAAAATATGCCTACTGTTTAGCCCCCAATTAATACAAAACAATAATGAAAAATAAGCTATTACACAAATACTACAGAAATACAAATAAATGGCCTGTGTATGGCAAAATGGGTAAAACTCTACAGTACTATACCTACGTGAAAATCTGTCAAACTACAAGGTACCCTTTCTACTTGTTAGTAGCATTCTATTTTTTGGATGGATTATCTTTCTTTTGAAAAACATAATTTCCTTTAGCTTCCAATATGTTTGTATTGTGAATGAATAGAAACCATCTTCTAAAGGCGTCAAGAACAATGTAAGCTGTAATTTGCAGAACCAGTAGTCCACATCCAGATAATGGTGTGCATGTATAGACGAAGCCATAGGTCTACTGCTACTATCATTTTAATAAGTTATTTTACCATATTTATAGAACAACAAATATAAATCTGCTCCTACTTCGCATGTTTCTCACTATATAAAGAAGTAGATTGATCCAGATTCTTAAAATGATTTAGAGTGCAAAGAAAAACAATATATTATAAAGCATTAGTACATTCCATTTAACTACATCCTCCAGACTTCTCCATGAAACTAGCTGTGAAGAAAGCTGAATGGGTAGATAAACCAACAACAAGGTCCAGGGCCTGGATGACTATGTAGAATTAAGAAATTAATTAGGAAGAGAACTGTAATTTGCAGCACTGACATCGATTTTACTTAACTTGCATGTATCAATGAGAAGCAATTACAATTCAATTAAAATATTCTCTTTTATTACTTTACTGACTGACCTTGAAGTTAATGCCTGTTTTATTTAATTGCATCATCTATGAATAAATGTTAACCCTAGAATGTTATGCCCCATTATTCCCAATGCCTTTTAGCTCCCCAACTGAATTACATCTGTCAATTTATTATGTGCTGTCATGAAAGCAAGTGGGACTTTATTTCTTTGAGATAGACCAGTATGTGATGAAAGATTTGATAATGCTGTTTTTAACAGTACCCAGTAAAACAAATTGTGCTCTCACCTCCCTTTTATTACAAAATCAGTACATGATAGCACAAATGGTATAATCACTTCAAAGTAATGTCTAGTCCATCTGTAATTCCTGATAAATCCACTGACAGGAACAGAACTCCTTCTTACACCTATCAAGAATGGTTGCAGAACTCATGCACACAGCCACAAGACAAATGCTGGACAGAACCACACCAATGTACAGATGGGGGCAGAAATTCAGGGCTTTGCTCTGTAGTGAAAAAAAATGTATCAAAGAACATTACTGAAAGGCATTCCACTGGTGCTGTGCATTAATGCTAAGTAACACAAGAAAACCATGAATTAAATGGTCCACTTTCTTCACACATATTAGAGTAACAGTCTTTAACTTTGAAGGACAACTACCTGATATTACTTCTATTTATCATGACAATTCAAAAAAAAAAAAAAAGAAATCAAGTTCCATTTTTCATGCCATAACATTTGGCTAACAAAAATATATATTTTAAAGCCTCAACTTACTCAGAAAGTGTTTTTATGCATGTTCATAATTTTAAAATATTCTTGATTTTAAAGAAAGCATTTTAATACAAAAAGCCTATTTTCACCTCAAGTTAGTAAAAATGTTGAGAAAATAATGACTCATAATTATTACTTATAAGAAATTGTGCTACATAATTGGTTCAGTGTAGCACTCAGAAAAAATCTCTAACACTAATAGAACAGACTACAACACTGCTTTTGAAAGTTAAATCCTATACTTAAAATGTGTCTTTTTTTCCTTTAAGTAAACAATATTGATTTTTATGAAGGTGGATTAAGTACTGTTTTAACGACAAAGAATCAGAGTATGTTTATAATAGCACAGGAAAAGCCTACACAAACCAAAAAGCTACTAGTTGGTAAAGCAGGTTTACTCTGTAGGAATACGCAAATGTCAGATACCCTTCATATTGCAGGAATGCAACTCCCACAGAGATAATAATGCACTGTAAATATACACCTTAAATTAAATTGCCTGGAGGTAAATTATTCCTGGTATAATATTTAGCTTTTATTTCAATAAAAACTTGGGAAGGATGTGAACTTTCTGTCTGGCAGAATAAATAACAGGTTCATAGTTGATTCTTCATCATAACTTTCATACATGAAAGGTTGTATAACAATGGCAAAACAGATGGAGGCCATGAATTTCCATTTCCAAAACATCAAAAAAAAAAAAAAAGTAAAAGCTGCAAAATTTTCATATAAAAATGAAGGAAAGAAAATACCTACTGGTTATTAGCCCCACCTTTAAAAGATTTAAGGTGAATATACTTTAAATTTATTGTATAAAAGAGCAAAAATCATGCAGTATCATCGTGTGCCTTCTTCTATTTTATTGGGATAATTTAACCAGTGTGGAAATAGTACTGGGATGGAATCTGCAAGGTTAGTGGTAAAGTTAGAAGTTA